TATAAAGATCCCTTTAACAGAGTTTCAGGTAGAATAGAGAAATATGAGGCTTATTATTTTCAGAAACATTAATTTGAGCTACTGGTCCTGTCCTTAGGAATGTGATTTCCTCTTAAGATTTTTAGGCTGCAGGTGGGCATCTGTTCGTTGGACTTCCTTCTTGCTTCCACAAGATCTTTCAAGTCCTTTTTTTCTTATTTCTCTTTTCAATGTTCAGGAGTTTTAGATAAGGTGCAGGTTATTATGGAAATGCCCTAGAACATGCCAGCTAAAGAAGAAAATCTAATTGCTTCTCTTTTAATAATGATGAGCTAGTTAAACTCATCCATCAAAATCCATTACTGCTGGCAGTTTCTGCAAAGACTGCTTGCACGAGGACTGGACTGTGAAAGAAGCTTCTCAGCCTCAGCCTTTGCCAAGGAGTAGCTCACATTTGGAGGCCTTGAAGGACTCTGTCCTTTCTGCAGTACAAATCAGGGACATGAAGCCAAACTCGCCGTAGTTGATGACTTTACAGCATGTGCACAGACCCCATTTCTTCAAATTGGAGTTGTAGCAAGGGGCAAGTGGGCACGTTCCCCTGGAAAGTGTTTCCCAATTTCTGTCCTGATCCCATCGGCAGCTCTCCTGTGCTCCTGCTTCACACCAGCAGCATTGTTTCTGCCTTCTGTTCTTTCCCCATTCCTTGAAGGAACTCCCGGTCCCAGCCTGCTTTCTGAGTCTGTGCAGCCCTCCATAAGTCCCAGCCTGCTTTCTAAATCCACATAGCCCAGGTGGGTGACTGGAGCTATACCTAGGGCTTCTGAACTGCTGAAGACCTATGACATCCTTCTCAGTGAAGAGGAGGGGTGTTTCACATGTGCTCCTGTTGTGCAGATTTGTGGCTTTATTGGGAATATGATACAGAGCTACACAAGTCAATTCAGACTTCTGTATTCACTGCACAGGGAAACCTTCACTTTCCAGTGGGTTTGCAGGCCCGCAGGCATAGTAGCAGAAAGGTTTTTGACCAGAAATGGTGTCAACCTGGTGATACTACTTTCTCTATATGTTGAAGATACTGTCTGTATTAGCCCTGACCAACTCAATATTGCACTAGCTTTGTTACAGAGCACTCTGGAGAGCTAGGGATGAGTGACTTGTCCCTGAGCTAACAGGAGACATTAATTCAGCCCCAGAACTTGATCTACAGGTCTACTAGTCTCCCCTCAACCCCCAAAGCTAGATATTGGTTTCAGTGTCTTCTGTTCATCTGTTGAGTATTGTGGTTGGACTTCTGCCTTTCATCGCTATTTTCTGAAGACTGCTGATAGGAATACAACCATCCTAGACAGAAGAACAGGAGAAACTTTTTAAAACAAGACCAGCTCTGACTCACATGCTAATGAAAGGTTCATGCAGTCACTGTGGAGAGCTACAATAAAAAATTATGATGAAGGCAGCAGCAGGAGACAGCTACAGACAAGAGGCCAAGGAGAAAGATGTGCAAGGGAGGGGGAGAACTGCTGTTCCTTCCTTGGATTCCTCACTGCCGTATTGTGCGGCAGCAAAAGCTGGCAGCTGCAGTGGGGTCTGGTGATGCTATTTACTTTCCTGAGATTTTTTTTTTGACTTGCTGTTTTAACAAGCCCACTGGATCATTACTGGTTTCCTCCTTTGCTGGAGGAGCCAAGATGCTTTGTGAGGGCTAGGCTGGGGCAGAAGGCTGCTGATCCAGGTCAGCCCTTGAAGAAGGGTGCACACTGGTGGCTGGTAGTGCTCTGCGAGGGCAGGAGCCACACAGTGACGATGCAGGAGACCAGCTTCAAAGACACCAGGTAGCAAGGCCTGATGCTGCAGGGACCTGCAGTTCTGCCTGAGGAGGAGGTTTGAGGTGGCCAAAGGTGGGCTAAAAGTGCTGGTTCCAGGCTTGTGTTTCCCTCTTCTCCAGAGGAGGTATGGCCCGGCAGAGCAGCGTGGGGTCCATAGAGGCCAGCAGTGGGTCTGACTTGCAGGGTGCTGCAGAGATTGCAGCCAGTGCTTTGGCCTATGAGGGCAAGAAGGGGAGCCTGCCACAACTCAGCCCTCATCTCCAAGGCACTGAATTTGTCCTGGGAGTCCTTTAACAGCCCAAGATGAGGAGGGTTCAATCTTGCCTTCACCTGAAAGGTAGCCCGGTTACATCTAATGCCTTCTCAGAAGGGTTTGCTCTCTGCCTTGCCCTTCTGGTGAGAGCCAACAACTCCAGTTCCTTTCATTCCTCAGCTCCAGATCCGTGAAGCTTTGGCACTTACAGATGCAGACACGTACCCATATGGACATGCTGCTTTCTTGACATTCTAGTTGCATCCTGGGCTTCACTGTCTGGAAGGTTTTGCTAAGCAGCAGCTCGCTGTCAAGTCAGGTGTTTATCCTTGGGGCAAGGTGTTGTCTGAAGAAATATAGGTCACTTCATCTGATTAATTTGTTTATGTGTAGTTTAGAATTGCTGATCATGGGTAAATCTAGTTTGCTCAGCTCCCACTCAGGAGAGAGATGTAATAAAGTGCCGTTTGAAATCCCAGCCCTTGTGTGTGTTTAGCCTGTTCTCGGGAAGGATGAGCCAACAAAAGCAATGACAGTTGCATCTGGTAAACCAGAGTTTTACTGATGCTGATATCCATTCTGGTGCATAAATTCCTCCACAATCCTTACTGAATGTTAAAAAAATCTGCTGCCGTTTTAGTCATAAACACGTTAGTTAGTTGCAGTTTTTAAAGTGGCATTTAGAGTCTTTTGGATACCTACCAGACTGCATCAAACACAGAACACAGAGATGACAGAAGATGCCACTTATTGGGACTATGGAAAATGGAAGGACTCTTTGTACCTTCTTCTCTGGCCTTGCCTCAGGCAGGGTGCTTGGGGAGGGGTGTGGGGTCCTTCAAGGATGAGAAAATGATATGCCCAAAGATGGAGTAAACTTTAGTCTGGGAGCTTTGAGATCAAGTCTCTGTGTGTACCCTTCAAACCAGTTATTAGAGATGTACCTGTGCTCCTCTCCTGTGCCTTACCCTCCCCTGCTTCCCAAAGAAATAGATTTAAAAATTCAGGTATGTAACACTGAATGGGACAGTGGTTGTGAGCAGCTTCCCACAGCCTCAGATTTTTGCCTGTGTGTGTAATCTCTGTTAGCGAGTCTTTAGTGTCTGTTTGGTCATGAAGAGGTATGTAGGGAGCAAACATACAGCCTGGAGTAGGGCCTAATTAGTATACTACAAACTCATGTCCCATCCATAGCCCCTGAATACCTATTAGCATATGCATGTGTGGCTGCTCACCAATGGTTTCAAAGGAAGGTCAGCTTTTCCTTTGCTCTGCTTCTGCTGGACACGTGTTTCCCGACTGATGCCTAACATCAGCCCTCCGGACAGATTTTCCAGGAAATCTAGAGCAGACTCTGCTGTCAAGGACAGACTGGCAAGCAGTGCATTGAGTTGCAGTGTTGGTTGCTTTGATGATTGTGTCTCTCCCTTCTGATTGCTTTGGCCAAGTACTACCCACAGTAAAACTGGAAGAAAGGTGCAGTCCAGAGAAGGAAACAGCATTGACCAAGGCTGAGTTTAAAATCTTTTATTATTTAGCTTTGCCAAACAGATAATGGAATCTGAAGTTGATTTGCTAAAATGTTTTGAAGTGGATGCCACCCCTGCCTGAGACAAAGAGGCGCTCAGTGGCAGCAGGGACCCTTAGGCTATGGCAGCAGTTCAAAAGAACACTTTTAATTTTGTATGCAACAATGTAAACTTCAAAAATAGTAAACTATAACCTTTCCCCCCTGCCCTTTTTACATAGCATGTGATCTATCACAGATAGAAATTTAATGGCGAACCAAAATCGCGTAAGTAAACATCCTGGTGCTTACAAGTTTCATAAAAAGTGTTACATTTGATGTAAATATCTTACATTTTTAACTCTTAACACTCACAATTATGGAGTAAAAGCAACTGGTGATTCACCCCCTTAGTCCGTGCTCTCAGACTGTACATCAGCAACCACGCTCTTGCCAGCCCCTTTGATCGTTTTCGGTTGGATTGTCCCACACATGACCAAGACTTCCCCTTCCTCACACTGGTGTTAAGCAAGCGCAGCTCCACACAGGGGTAAAACCTGTGCAAGTGAGAAGAGAACCAGGTCTCCTGCACGCAAACTTGCAGTCCCCTGGGCCCCGCGTTCCCACAGAAGCCATGGCGCGTATGGGGGGGGCACGTCCTGATGTCGGTGGGAATTTGGGGTCCCTCGGGGCCGCAAGCCCGAGCCCTGCCATTGCAAGTGCTTCGCGGCGGGACCTGGTTCTGCGTGGATAAAGACAAGAGTTCTGTAGAAGGCACTGGATTTCTCTTGCATGATTTTAAATGTGGACTACAGTCATGTGCAGAATAAGGAGATTTGGGCTTTAGACTGCTTTCTTTCTAGTGCTTTAGTGCAAGCATTTTTAGCGCTTGAATTCTCTCCTGGTTGCAGCGCGACATGCGCTCACCTACACAGAGTGATTTCCAACCCTCTTTCCTTCCACTTATCCCCCCATCTTCCTGTCCCCCAAAAGATTCCCTTTTTGTTCCTTGAAAACTTTCAGAGTACAGCTCTGGTCAAAAATAAACATGTGATGTAGCATAGCGTTTGTTTCTTTTAAATCACAGTGTGCAATGCATCAGTTGGTACCTAATGTTCAAAATGTCTGCCCTGCTTTTCATGAAAATCATTCTTTAAAATAACCTATGCAAATATATTTTGACTATATATTACATTCATTTAAAAAGAGAAGAGAGGTTCTTGGTTTGCAGTTTTTTTCAGTGTACTACTTAAGTGAAAGGTCTGATGTGAAAAAAGTACAAGCAAACTGGACATGCCAAGACTCGATGCCTTAGATGGTGATCATATCAAAACTGTACAGGTATGTACACCGTGTTGGACAGGTGTGCTTCTTCCCAAGAAAAGACCTTTGCATCATCATATATAAGGTTAACCACAAAGTTTTGGTAAAAAGAGCATTTAATGAGCAAAGGATGACATGGAGGGGCGAGTTCTCCGGCTTTTGTTAGGCAGTCCTGAAGCGATGTCTCCATTCCCTTCGGGGATTTCTTCCTTCTTCCGGACTTTGAGACGTGTGAGGAGCTTTATTACCCAGACATCCCATTCCTCTGGCAAGAGCAACAGGAGGAAGCCCAGGCCAATAATGATGATGGCGATTACTCGGACACTGTTGAAGACAATTTCACTCGTGTAGTGATCAACAACTGTGTGGGACATTGAACGGGTGTTATTACGTGGGACAAAGCATTAGGGCAGTATCCCCCTCCCTCCCCCTTGCCTCCCAGGCTCTGAAGGCTGGCTGTGCCAGGAGAACACGGCCACGGAGACGATGGTGGCGGGGAGACGACCCTTCCTGCTGGTTTAGCACGCAGCAGGGTACGGCCCCCTTCGGAGCAGGCAGAGCTGGCCGGCGGGCTCAGGACGCAACAGGGGACGATGCCTGGAGCTGCAGTTGTCGTCTGCAGCAGCACCTTCTCCCTTGTTTGCCGACAGCACGGGAACTCCCGCTGAGCTACGGGTACGCAGAGAAAGGGGCATTTCCCTTCCCCGGCACAGCAGCTCCTTCATGCAAATTTTTCTTCTCGCCCTGACCATCCCACTGCGTAAGAAACCCTGCGCACGCTGAGCCACGCACACATTCTGGTGGGGATCGCACCGTTCGGTACCAAAGTCTGCTGGGGCAGCCAGCCGTGCCCAGCTCTGCATGTGTGTAGTCAGCACAAAGCTGGGAGCTGCCGCCTCTGCTGCGGCACCAGTTCAGCACACTGGGGTTTAGGAGCCTGGTTTGGGAGAGGTGGCTCTGGTTTGGGTCAGGGTTGCCTCTGCACTCCCCTGTCCAGCCCTCTCAGGCTCTGCAGTCTCTTGGCTTTCGCTAAATTTCAGAAAACCATCAGAGAAATGTGCCAGGCCATGCCCAAAATAGAATTGTCCAGTGCTCTTGATAAACACCTGCGATGTTATTTACCAAGGCAAGCAGAATTACTAGTACATATTTGCTCTAAAATGTACACAATTTTATTTGTTTCAATTTAATGTTAAACCTGCCTTGGAGAAATAATTAAGAATTGATTTCTACTTCATCCATGAATTTTCATCCCAGCCCAGAGACAGATGACTTCAAGTCTACTTTGTTTTTCAGCATGCAGGCTTCTTCGGACAGTAATTTAAAAAGCAATTCTAGAGATTATGAATATTCATGTAGTATTATATGATACATATTTAACACATAAAGTATACATTTTTGATCAGTGCCATCTCCATAAGTCTTTCAGAGAAGCAGCAAAACATGTTTAATTAAGCTATTTGCTTTTATCCCTGTTGTGTATTTGAAAGGCCACAGATTTAGTATATTCATCAAGATGCAAAAGGCAGAAATTCTTACCCGCATTCACTGGGACACTCAGTACAATTCCAAGAGAAATCAAGGTGGGGTAGGTAATAGCAATCCCAAAATTTAGTAGAATATTGAATGCTGAAGAAGGAAAGAAAAAACACCTTTTACTACAGTGAAACTAGGCAGAGGGAATGTCACTTGAAACGTTTATGCTTTATTACTCCCTCTGTGTGCTGTTCAAATAGAAGGCATATTAACCTCTGTTGTTATTCCTGGAAGATACCTGTGGACAGATGTCTGTCTGCTGCACGTCCATCTGCCTGAGACATTGCTGTTTCTGGGGAACTCTATATCCCGCTGGAGTCGGCAGCGGGATCAGGGTGAGGTTTGGGTACAACCTGTCTCTCAGTGTAATGATGTGCAGTGATTCCCACTCTCTATACCAATCCATTTCGCCCTGCTGAAAGACTAAACACTTTTCATCTAGGAGATTTCAGCCAAACAGTCGCTTCTGGCTGGATACTTTTTTTTGTAGAAAAGCTGCCTCCAGCTGCAGGTGGAAGATGCTGTAAATCTGACCATCTTCAAGATAGGAACTTGCTAAATATAATTTCCTATAATGAAATTTCATACAATGAAATTATAATATCATTATAATATCATTTCAACTGAATGATTGTAATATCACTCCATTGTAATACCATACACTGTTCTTGGAGTGTCTCATGGCAAATTAATAATTGCTTTGGACCAAATTTACCCATGTTTTAAGGGGATTAGCTTTAGCAAAGTCAGGAGAGCCTTGCCAGTACTGAACTTGTCAGCAGCTGGGGCTCCGACTGTCTTCTAGTAGTACCTATGCGTTGCACACCACAGCAATTGCTTGCCACGTTCTGCACTACTTGCTTACAGAAACCTTCCATTGAGTCCACTGGTAAGTAAACTGGAGGTACTTCTAGAGTCAAATGTTGAGACTGTTCAGGGTAAAAGGAGCTGGGACTTAAGATAGGGATGGAGAAGTGCTATTTATTTCCAGTAGAAATGAAAGGAACGTTTTAGGAGATGTGATGCCATCATCCAGTTTAGGGACCAACTGTGGCAGCACAGTCAACGCATCTAGTTTAACAAGGAACAGCATCACATTTCTGATGACCATGATCATTAAAGCTTAGATTTGGCATCCCTCCCAAGGTGGACTCCCTTGGTGGCACAGCAGCGGCAGCAGAATAGAGGAGTGCCACCTACCAAATTCCCACCAGTGCTATGCAACGCTACGTTTCCAAAAATTCCCTGCTCTTTAGGAATAGCAATTAGCTATTCTTGAAGTCAGCAGAGGCGCTGGAGGCTGGCCTTGATTGGCCTGGCCTGGCCTAACCTGGGGGCTCGGGGGATGCTGATGAGCCCAAGGTAATGCCCTGCTGTCAGGGCTGCTTCCCGTCACAGCCCGAGCAAGTGTGGCTTGTCTCTGTGAAGCAGAGATCACGAGTGGGAGTTAGAACAAACTTTACAGTTTAGTTCCACAGCACCTTCTACTGACGGCCACAATAGTTTGGCTTGGTAATAACAGCAGGAGTGGGGTCTACATCGCCACCTAGGAATGGGCCCTCTGCATGATTTCTCAAGCTGATAATTAGGTTGCGAAGAAGGGAAAACAGCTGCAGTATGTCAGAGGTCTGCAGCTTCCACCAGCGGCCAGTTTCTGGCACCCTCCTCCACCCTGAGCAGTGCGAGAGCCCCCCCGTCTACTCACTCAATAAGAGAATCGAAAATCCGCAGAGGTTTCCCCAAGGAATGATGTCAAAAGAGCTCCAGTACTCCACTTTGGTAAAATAAAGGATGACAGGAATACAGGTAACGAAGAGGACGTTGAAGACAGCTAACACAGACAGGAATAAGGCAGCTTCTCCAAATTTAGCACTGCCCAAAAGAAGTTTGAATAAAACCTACAAGAGGAAAACACATGGGTTTAACTCTCTTGCACCACTCCTCTGGAGGGCTGGTGTCCTGGCTCCAGTGGCTACCGGCAACCTGGCCCGCCGGCCAGTTGCTTGGGGCCGAGGGGGCTGGGTGCTGAGCAGTGTCAGTCAGCACCCATGCGGTGATGCTTGCCGGACACTTGAAACGGCTGCTCGTGAAGCTGTGGAGAGCAGCTCGTGTGCCCCAGCCCTCTCCCTCCTAGCACCCCGGGAACACAGGCAGGGGCAGCTGCCCAATGAGCCCACGCGGGAAGGGGGCTCAGCACCTTTGGCCGTGCATCTCCCAAAAGAGAAGGTCGCTCACCCTCGCCTAGACACTTGGGTCTTTTTCCTGCATGCTCCCTTCAGGAAAACCTCTGGAAAATTTGACATTAAAACCAGAAGACTTAGCGGAGCAGGGCAGAGGGAGGAGAGGAAGCAACGTGTCTATCTCCCTGCATGAGACGTCACTGGTCCAGGCCTTGAGCTGACACCTGAGGAGCGCTGCGGGGGTGAGCAAGCACGGTCCCTGCCGCCTGGCTGTCCTCCCTCCTTGTCCCACCGTGCACCATGGCCTGCCCGCGAGCACCGCTGTCCTTGCCTCCCAAGGCACGCTCGCAGTGCCGGACTGCTTTCTCCCTGCCCCAGAAGGCAGAGAGCGCAGCAGCAGCCCCGAGCCCAGCTGCAGCCCGACTAACGAGACCGCGGAGAGGGATTTAAAAGCTTTGGTTTGTCAGAGGGAGAAGGGATGAAGAGAGGAAACAAGGGAGGCGAGCGGCCCATCTGGGGAGGCCCTGCAGAAGGGTCTGGTCTGGGGTCTGCATCAGTTTTCCACCACGGAACTGCAGAGGATCCAGTGGATCCCGTGGGCTCTGGGTACAGCTTTCCCCTGCCACGGGCTGGAAACCAGGAGAGCCAGTGGACTCTGACTTACTGGTTTGTGCTGGGGTGGCAGGCCCCCTCGCCAGTGTCAGTTGTCTCTTCCCTTCGCCTACCCAGAGCCCCACAGGCAAGTCTGCAGGGCTGCTGTGCTCGCGGGGCTGCTGCCCGCTCCCACCACCTCGCAGCCGTCACTGGCCAGTGCAGCTGCGTTGCCGCTCTGCATAATGGAGCAAGATGTCCCGAAAACTACTTACTCCTCATTTGCCACCTGAGGATGGCGTGTTGCCCCGGTGGGGCAGGCAGCCGGCACAGGCAGACTGAAGCATCTGCGTTTGGGAGTAGGAGGGCAGCTTGCCTGCCTGCAGATCTGCCTGCCCCTTCGGCACACGCAACTCAGGGAAACTGAGCCAGACCGCGGAAAGCAAGAGCAGATTGGCAGGAGCGGCAGCAGCAGAGTGGCATTTCTTGAGGAACGAGCTGCACAGCTCCAGCTGTCCTGGCATGCGGGGCGTGCTGCAGAGTAACAGCCCGCCGGCGCTGCCACCATCACCTCCCTGTGCACGGGTTCTGGTGGAGCAGCCCCGAGACCCCCGTCCCCACAAGGAGCAGCGATGCCATGGGAGATGGGGCAGAGCTAGGCTCTAGCCTTGAACAACCCTGCCTGCCTGCCGATGATTCCAGAGCCGTGGCGTTTCCTCAGGTCTGGAGGGCCACGTCTCTGGTCTTGCAAGGAAATGCTCTTTTAGAGGAAGGAGCTGTATGAAACTTCATGACCTCCCTTATGTAAGACATAGGCTGATCTGAAAAAGTGAGCAGAAAGCATTGCAGCACAGCGCTGAGCGACACAGACAGATGCTTCTCAGTTTGGCAAGTCTCCCTGGATTGCTTGTGTTAAGGCTGCAGGGCTTGCCTGGCCAATTTCTGTCGGAGGACTGGCACAGTGCAATTCATTAGACCAGACAGAGACATCTACACCTCATCCTAGTCTACACATCTGAGCCAGGGCAGGTGAACCGCACCCTACAAGCGCTTATTCCTCTCTGTGGACTGCGACTCTGAGCGCTGTGAGCAGCACAGAGGCAAATGCATGTATGTGTCTCAGGGTAAATGAAATGGCTCATTGCCCAGCAGAAAAGGCTGCATGTCACATAGTGCAGCTTACCCAGCTGGTCAGGATGAGACCTTGATTCACAGGCACATGCTTTGGATTTTAAACACATGATTATTTCCATGACAAGCAATACTTTAAGCCCAGCGTAGGCTACATATGCCACTGAAGGAGGACTGGCAAGAGGAGGTCTTGAAAAAGAAGCTAAATCTCTGCAGGGACTTCCAGAGTGAGTGATTAAATCCAGCACCTATGGAAAAGCAGCCTTATTTTTCAAGAAGGCAGGACACCTCTAAGTCCTCCTGTGGGCACTGGAGAAGACTCTTCCCAGGAAATAGGAATTTTTATCCTAAGTGAGGGCAGACATCAAAGCAAGTGAATACCTGAATGCAGTGTTGCAGAGTCAGCGTGTATGGCAGAGCCCCTCAAAGAAAGAAGGACACATGGCACTGAACTGCACGAAGGTTTGCAAGTAAGACAGGAGCAGTTAAAGTGAGTGACAGGGGTGACTGGCATCTTTCTGGGTGAAGACCCAGGCGTGCTTACCTTGTAGAGAGCAGACATTGAGGCAGAGCCCACCACCAGGGCTATCCCAATAACGGAGTGGCTGTGAAACCCATCAGCATACGTCATCATAACTATCCCTGCAATAGCAAATATAGCAGCCACGATCTGATTGGAGACAAAGAAAGAAAGAAAGCAAGTGTTACTGGACAACCCCCAACATGGAAAAACACGAGAGCAGCTTTAAGTGAGGGGCAGTACTTCTGCATCATCTCCTTATGTAGAAAACTAGTAGCACGCCCAGGTCGGTACCTGCAGAGCTGATGCTGGCTTCCCTGGCTGCAGAGAAGCTGCAGGCAGAGCTGGGAAGGAGCGGCTGCCTCAGGGGGGTGTGCAGCAGGCCAGACCGCAGGGCCCAGTGCCTCCGACTGAGCTGAAGTGGGGATTTCATCTCTGTCACTGAGACTCCCCATCAGTGGGTCCCTGCAGCCTGTGCGTGACAATAATACACAAGTAGTAATTCCCTGGTGCTTGCAGGAAAGGCTTTGAGTCCTGTGGAGGTTTTGGAGGAAAAAGGGGTTTGAAATAAATGGAAGAATAAAACTCATACAACTAATTTCCAGTTCAGACATGTCATTTCAGAGAGTAGAGGGAGGTTTAGTCAGCCAGCCAGGCCCACAGCAATGCCTGAGGGGGGGTTAGCCAAAGGGAGGTAGCATTCACGAAGGTGGGGAACAGCCTGCCCCTGATTCAGCAGGGTCAGCAAGAGACCCCTGGCTTCTCTGGGAGTGTCCTGCCAGATGTCCCAAACCTCCCCAGGTAGTAATTCTGGGGTGAAAAGGGCTTTCTGCATGCTCCGTGCTTCCTGGCTCTGCAGTGGTGCAAGGGACACCCCGCTTAGACCACATCCCCTTTGGCTGCACAATCATGGTGATGCTTCTGAGATGATTTGGATAAATGAGTTTATTTTGACCCGTAGCTGGATCAGTGCCAGCCAACTTTCCCCTCTCCTGGGGTCAACCCGGGGTTTTAAGCCCCATCCACAGGCTGTGGCTGCCCAGACATCCAAGAGGAATGGCCTCCTCTCACCTTTCCCATTCACCACCAGAGATGCTGGGGCTGCTGTGAAGATGCAGGGGGAAAGCCTGTGTGCCAAGCTCTGCTGCTGCCTGATGAGGAAGCTGAAGTGGGGGGGACCCCTTTACCAGCTGCAGGTCCCCATCCCAGCACCACCAGCAGCCTCTTCCCTGGGTTGAGCTGGGAGGGGCTGGTGTCAGGGGGCACCTATAAAACTTCCACAGACAATCACCCAGCAGATCCCTCCTGCAAGCTGATATCAACACTTCCAATTTCCCCTAACAGAAAAATGCCCCATTTTTGCAAACAGAGCGGGATCAATTTCTCCAAAGGTGTTGCTGTAGAATGGCAGGGTGGTGTAAGGGTAGAAAAAAGCCCAAATCAGCAGAAGCTGAAACTACCTGGAAAATACAGCTGCTAACAGCATCTCGACAAAACAGGGCTTGAGCGTAGAAATTGGTGTACTGCTGTTCAAGATGCTACATGAGCACAGTTTCAGCAGGGTATGGAGAGGCAGGGTTTCCCCCAACAGCTCAGCCCCTTGCCGACCCAGCCGAGGGGCAGCAGGTTCTGAAGATGCTGATTTATTACTTGCTCAGAGTGGAGCCCAGTGCAAGCTGCAAAGGCTGGGTGTGCATGCTGCAAATTTGAGGAGGTTTTAGCTACAGCATCTTGGCTTGCAGCCCTGTCAGCATGAGATCTCTCCATGCACAGCTGTGGGGCATCATTTCTAAAGCGAAGCTTGGTGGTGGTGTCCTGGACAGGCTTATTTTTAAGACAAGGAGAGAAAGAACCCCAATGCACGGCTCTACAGCAATGTGGGGCTGTTTCAGATAGGCGGGAGTGAAGGAGCTCGGCAGCCCTCAGCAGTTCTCTCATGTCAGAGTGCTAGTTCTTGCCAAATAAAAATTCAGACACCCCATGTGGCTTCAGAGGCACAAGAAAAAAGTCATGGAATGAGACTAGCATGGGGCAGGTGCGGAACAACGAAATAGAGATTTGTCTTCACCCAACATATAATTCAGCCAAGAAAGTTTTGCTGTTTCACACTGTGGATGTGAAAAGTTTACGAGGATAAACTGATGAAAGAAAAAAATTCATCAAGGACTATTAACTATAGGAACATCTCTTCCATCTCAGGAAGTCCTTGAGCCTCAAATTGCTGGAGGCTGGAAAGTCTTATGAGGAAATACCATTATAGGCTTTTCCTGTTCAGACAGATTTTTCTAGGTGTCCACTAGAGGCAGCTGCTAGAGCCAGGCTCCCAGGGCAGATGCACCTTTTCTCTGACTCACTGTGGCTCTTTGTAGAGTTGCAAGATACATGGCTCGGGCTTATCTGAAAGATAGCAACTCCGGCCCTTCAACATCACCTGTGCTAAAGACCAGGTGACAAAGAGTGGAAGATGCAGCATTTCCCGTAGCATCTGCTCCAGGCGTGGCTGTCTCCTGTCCGAGATGCGTGGGGCTTGTCCAGCCTTCACTGCAGAGCCGAGGGGAGACCACAGCCACGAGTCAGCCTGGGACAAACGGCGAGTACCTCCATGGCGAAGGGAGCCTGGCTGAGCTCCCGCTGGCGGCAGCAGCTCCATTGCAGTGGAAACTTGGCGGGCGCATTAATGAACTGCAGAATAATAAGCATCTAGTTTTGCTTTCAGTGTCAGGGGCTGGCTGACTCCAGAGAACCTCCCTGGAGGCTGGGTCTCTGGTTGGTTGGAAAAGACTACGATTTGGGATTTGATAGTCTATTTATTTTCATGTCCCACTGGCAGGCGTGCTTGTCTATACGTTATGTACGCAGAGGGTACTTGCAAGCGATGGTTCTCTTGAACCCTGAGCTGGTTTATTTACTGTAGCATAGAAGGAAACACCAAAGTCAGGGATCAAAGCAAATAAATGCAGTCTGCAAACAGTTTTGCTGGAGCAGAAGTCCTTGCCTCTTCTATCAAGCATGTCACAAGTGTCAGATAAGTCTTGACCTCGCCAGTCGACATGCCAGGTGTGTCACATATGCTTTCGCTGGAAGCCTTTCAGCCTGTCTATCAAGCATGTTGTTAGTGGCAGTGACAGGCTGCTTGCACCACACCACACCATGGCTACTGGCCTGCGGTTACTTGCAAATACCTCAGCATGGCAGGGCTTGCAGAGGCAACGCTTCAGGCCCTCACAGCGTCATTACATGTGTGTCTTCTCTGAAAGCAATATGCCAGCTCACAGCCCAGTTGGACCATTGCTCTGGGCACAGTGAAGGGAAAAGGGAAGAAGAACAACTTCATTACAGGGGATATAGGCACTTACAAGTGCCTGAGTGGCGAGGATGGGATTTTGTAGCTTGCTCTTACATTTAAATTCCATCCAAATTGTGATTTAAGTGCTTGTAGAGCTAGTAGTTGCGCCTCCAGATGCCAAGTAGGATGCTTGTATGTACTTAAACCCCAGTGAGCTGCTGCCTTTCTCACTTGGCTTCTCCTCCAGCGTGTGTGAACAGGGACACCCAAATGTGCAGTCAGAGCTTTGCTGCGGCACTATCCATCCTGCTGTGCTGCCGCAGTGATGGAGCGGGAGCACGGGATGGTGCTCGCCGCAGGGCAAGGCACCGTCCCCCCTGCAGCCTCATCTGCCAAATACCTGCTCAAAGGGTGCTTCTAAAAGGGTCAGCAGCTCTGACACAGCGTGGCCTCAGGGACCACGAGCTTTGGGGCTGGGCTGTGTGCTGGCTCACAGTCCCTAGTTTGCTCCCAAGGAAGCCCCAGCAGCCGTCCCTCCTCCTGGTTGCCAGTCCCAGGAAGAAGGCTTTGTTTTGGGGTTCATCCCGAGCCGATCCCCCAGCACGCCAGGCAGCATCACCCTCGCTGCCAGTTGCTTTTCACATAGCCTGTACAGAAAAGAGAGGAAAGAGGGAAGAAAATGTCTCCAAGATACTCCACACTACGTCCCTCTGCAGACAGGAGTGTCCCCAGCACTCCCACTGTGCCACACGAAGCTGGGCAGCAGGACTGCTGTGCTGCCCCGGGTCAGGATGCCACATCTGCCCAAAAGCGCATAGCCCAGTCTGCCTATGAGCCCCTTCCCCCTGCACCCAGGTCCCTTGCCGGCCCGCCATCTGGGAAGGAGACAGCCATGTTCCTCCTCGGGTACGGAGGTGGCCTCTCAGGAAGCTCCCCTGCCACCCCTCACCAGCGCCAGGTGCCACGGTGAGGGGCTGGAACACATGGCAGGAGCACCGCACGGCCTCCACCGCCTTGACCCCTGTTCTGGGTCTCTGCTTCATTGCTGCTTTCCCAAGGCAGTGCTGATAAGAAAGGAAGGATGGCTGGACATGGCTGAGAACACCACTCAGGTCTGCTTCCCTGCTGCCTCCGCTCCTTCTGCACCTTTGGGAAGGGGGTATCCAGAGCAGGATTTGTCCCCCAGCGCATGTCACAAGACCTAGCCTGGCTGGGAAGCTGCTTGGAGACCCCCTGACCACCCCGGCTCTTTACGCACAACCACGCACCTGGGAGAGCACGAGAAGCGTCTCTGCTCCGGCACGTGTATGCCCACGTGGGTATCCCTGCACACGGGTCGGCTTCTTTCCCCCCAGACCACAGCCGTACCCAGCCGTGCGAGATGGCACGTGCAGACCCAGGAGCAAGCTGCACGCGCGGGAGAGCAGCGGTCAGCCCTCTACACACCTCCTTTCCTGGCGTCCCACCAGCGCTACAGCTGACAGTGCCACCAGACAGATGAAGGCCACAAAAATATGCCTTTTTTTTTTTTTTAACTTTTATCAAAATGGCCAGCACATCCAGCTAGGATAACAGCAATACTTCCCTGCTTCCAGGATCATTTCAGGATACCCTTGCTTCTGTACACAAAAACCCCAGTTAATTTTTTTTCAGGGTACAGCTACCTGGGCAGGTGGGTGGGCAAGCACAGACACCAGCTGGGCAGGCCAGGCTTTTGGCAGGTACATTTTGCAACGATTCCCGGAGCAGGCTCTTGGCTGCCATCACTGCAAGGCTGGCCAAGCTCTCCTGCCGGAGAGGAGCGCTTCCCGAAAAGTTAACTCTTGGCTGCTCCACGCAGCAAGGGCTAACAACCTCTTCTGAGCACTGAAAGTATTGCCCGGGTGGGTGAGCAGAGAACTCCTCAAATGGTGGGCAGAAATTAGGTACTATGACTGTTATTGCTGTTAATATTAATATGTGCCTGCTGGTGCAGCGAGGCAGGAGGGCCCCACTGGTACCTTTTCCTTGCAGTTACTCCCAGGCCTGGCAAAGCCCCCTTGGCCCCGGGGTGGTGGGTCACTGGGGCAGATGCCAGGTGCCCATCCACCTGGTTCAGCTGCCAGAGGACACCGCGTGCCAGTGGTTGCCAAAAGCAGCAGCAGGGTCAGCAGGGAGCTACAAGGGTTTCCGATACCCCCCCGCCCCGACATGCAGCTCCGTTGCTGGTGTGGAGCGGGTGTTCACGTGGGGTGTAGGACTAAGGATGTAAGCAAACATTTGAGATGCCACCAGGAGAGCAGCCCCAGGGGAGTGGGCTTGCCGCCCCGCTGCCTGCCATGCTTCCAGGCCCCATGCCTGTACCTGCTGACCAGTCACAAGTCTCCGTGTGCCAGCGTTATGCCGATCCTCCCCCAGCGACTCGCACACATACACACGTTTTGGCTGCACACTGGCGAGGGCAGGCCGGCTCTCCTCTCCAAAACTGCTGCTGATTGTGGCCCCAGTGCAGCGTGGGTGCAAAGGATAACTATGCCACCCTGCAAGCCTGCCATCGCGCATAAGAAAGGTGAGGGCCCCATTAAATTCACAGGTTGGGACCAGAAACGCATTGCATGCAGCCAAGGCATGCAGGAATGTGCAGTTAGAAACAGTTAGTCTCGGAGTTTTCACTCGGAAGGGACAAGCAAAGGCTGGTGCACGTCCATGGTGACATGGAGATAGCAGCTACCCCTCTGCCACACTCTGGAGCAAGTTACCTCTTTTCTGAAGGAAAATGGGCACAGGCACCGGGCTGGGGGAGAGGGGGAGCCCCAGGAGCTCGAGGGTGCCTGGGCAGGCTGCAGGGAAGGACAAGTCCCCGCTCCGTGAGGATTTCTGTGCTGACTTGGCTGTCTGCATGGGGTGATGCTCAACTCAGCCAGCAGGAGGGAAGGGGAAAAGGAAAGGCAGAAGGGCAAGGGGAAGAAGGGAGACAGAGATAAGGAGTCACTTACCCTCACTCCCATGAACCTGTCCCTCAGAACGATCCATGAAAGCAAGAACACAAAAGCTTTGTTGCAGCAGAACAACACGGAGACATCCGTAGTGTTTATTTTCTTTATTGCATGTAAGTAAAGGTAGTTTGTGAGTGTCCAAAGAACACCAAAGGGTGCTGCCTTGGTAAAAAACACCTTCAAAGTCAAGCCATTGTCTCCAAAAAACCGGCAGCACTCCCTAAAACAAGGAGAGAAAGGCAGCATTATTACACAAGCCAGTCACAGTCTGCAGCAAATATACGAGTTTCTTTTCTTTCTTGCCCCTCTTCTTTTCCTTTGGAGAAAGAGGGGCCCACACCTTAAACAGGGGAAGAAAAACAAATTCCAGCATCTACTGCAACAGCCAGCACCTGTGGGCATTGGGATGCTGAGGGGCCAGGGCCAGCAGCAAAGCTCCCCGTGATCTGCTATGCAGGGCTTGGCAGGAGGCTCGCGGGAGCCTGGTTGGGGGTCTTTCCACCTGAGGAGTGGGATCTGGCTCAAGCCCCCTGGCAGCAGCAGGGAGGAGGTGGCTGGCAGCTGCCCGCTGGGGTGAGGGCGCGCAATGGGACACGGCACGGTGGCAGCCGGGGATGCGCCGGGTCAGCTGGAGCAGCAGCACAGGGCAGGGGAGTCAGGTCAGGTGTACAGCGAGGGCTGTGAATTCCCAAGCGGGAGGGTATGGCCCTGGCATGGGAAAAGGAAAGGTCAGCGGTTTATTTGTATCCCATCTGAGAAGAAGAGAGCCATAGGGGCACAGGGAAGGCATCAGGGAGCTTGAGGGCACCTGCTCGAGCCTGACGGAAGGAGCGAGGCTGGGAAAAGATGAAGTGGAGAAGCTGAGGGGTGAGTGACAGCGTGAGCGTCCCAGGAGCTGGGGGCACTGGTGGGAAAAGGGGACAGGAGGTGACAGTGCAGCCTGGCCCTGCTGGCACGGCTCTGGGGAGGCAACGGGGGGGCCCAGGATGGGGCTGCAGGGGTCACCTCTGTGGAGGTGCTTTCAAACCCACAAAACCCCTGAGGCCCCAAAGTGCTTTAATGAAGTGTTTTGACAAAATTTGAGCAAAGTTAAATTTTGCTCCAGCAATGAAGGCCAAATAGGTTTTCACTGCTGCCTTGAATTTCAGGCTTTGTTTCCTGAGACTGGCCGTGTAAGGCTCATTATTTGGAGCCTGATGAAAATGTGATTTTGATCCACTTTCTCAGAAGACAGGGCTGTATCAGGTGATTCCCTAAAGAAACCTATCCATACTCTGAGCCTCTTCACATTTCCCCCATCACTAACTCTACCTCTGCCTACACCCCCTCTGCTGCAGCAGGTAGAGGAAATGCCTTTTGTGCGTTTGTTGGGTTTTGCCTCCTGCCAGTCTCTCGTACCGAGCCATGGCTGCACAGAACTTGCCCACCACTTGTGCAGAACTTGCCCACCTCTGGATATGGTGATCCTGGGCTTTGGCTGCCGTACACAGACACTTTCATATGAGCTGCTGGTTCTGCATTGTGTCACTCAGTGTCACAGCCAGCGCATCAGCGTCCCTTGTCCTTTATAGAAATGACCTGCTGGCAGCAGCCTATTCCCTGTCAAACCTGCTAACTGCTTCTCTGGGTCACTGCCCCTCTGCACCACGAACTGCGGCCCGACTTCCCACCTGCCATGCAGGGCCGTTCAGGGATGTGCACAGCACCGACAGATGCTGCCTGTGCTCAGCACGTGGCCTGGATCCTCAGTCCCCTTCCACAAATGCTATACCCACTTCAAGCCTGGCCTTCAGCCCTGCAAAGCGCAGCCTGTACCAGCCACTTGCCACAGGGGATGCAGGGAGTGCACAGGGATGCAGAGAGACATTGAAAACCCAGTCCCAAACTTCACTAGAGGCTTAAACCTGCTTCCCAAGACACCAGGAGGGTTTGACTGCCAGGGTGTCACAGGCAGCCAGTCTAATGCTCTGAAGACAAAAAACGCAGGCACAGTTTAAATTAAATGATATTAAGTATGAGAGGGACAGGAAGACTGTAGTCAAATGAAGGGACCAAAATGGAATTTATGTTGGGATTCATTCTGGGGGAAAAAAGCTCCTCCTGCCAAAAGTCTGTTTCCCACATATAGAATTGGGTTTGGGTATCACTATTTCATATACAGTAGAAATATGTGCTTTTACTGTACTGTGGGCCTGATTCTTGCTTAGCAGATACCACTGGATCCGTACAGTAGCACAGCTTGGGACTCGCCCCCATCCCTGAATGAAGCACCCAGTGTAGTGCCGCAGTGCCCCAAAGAACAGCTTGCCCTGGCATGGATCAGGACCCTGAGCTGCATTTCCCCCTCTGGGAGTCTCCTCTCACTGGCTTATGCAATAAAGCTTCCTTTCAGCTGTTTTGGATGATTTCACCAAGTCTGAATTGCTTCTTGTAGTCAGGCTCCATCTTCCAAAGGAGGCCTCCCTATGGCAGAGGTTTCCCCATCCAGCACGGGGCTGTAAAGGAGCTTCTTCCCAAGAACACCTGGCGCTGTGGAGGGTGCTATCAGACATGCACCCCTGTGCACAGCGAGCACCATTGTCCAAAATGGGTGCACTGCTGAACCGTGGGCTCTTGTGGGGGTAGCAGATGGGTTAGATGGCTTTCTTGGACCTGGCATCTTCAGTGAAGTCTGAGGAGCATTAGGGGAAATGTGGTATGTTTTGTGTGCCAGGATGACTACATACTGTAAATAACCCCCTCACAATTAATTGTCTCCCCAGGTTTACTCCTGCTTACCAGCGAAACTGATTTTTCCTTGGTGCCTTAACACTGGTTAAGAGAGAGAAGCTGTACCAGGAAGCATTTGATGAAGAGAGTTGTCAGTGAGTAACGGTAGATAAATAGTTACGGGAAGCAAGACAGGACTGTGATATAACCTACTCCGTAATCCCAAAACAGTCGGGGGACGAAATCACTCCAGAAAAACCAACTTTCAACTTTAAATATTTTGACAGAACATTTTGGACACAGTTTTTCATGCTGTCCAGTAATTTCAGTTTTGCCCACAAGGGTACATTGTACCCAATGAGTATCCTGATGTTTTATGGATACTCCTTGGCAAAACCACAGCTTGTGTCCTGTGGCGCTCCAGGCATGGCAGGCTCCATGCCTGACTGCACCAGGAGAGCCTGCCCATGAATATTTTAACACTCTCATTTGCTAATGAAAATGTTACTTTTTAAGAAAGACAAAACCCACCCCACCCAGTGGGCAGTCTGTAAGCATTCAGCATCCTTCGGAGCCCAATTCAGCACTGTGGACCTCCGTATGAGGCCTGACCCCAAGTCTCCCAAAGCCACAGGATAGACGGGGAGCTGGGGTCGGTTCCTTGAGGTTTTACAGGACAGACTCTTGCAGGTCTACCTGCCCACGGCAGGACACAGAGGGAGTCCTCTACTCACACCAGAGCAAGCTGGCTGCCTCCGGGCTGGTGGGGAGACGGCGTTGGGTAGCTCCTCCTGGGACAAATGTGCAGTGGTGGTGGAAGAGCTGCTGGGGAAGCGCCCTGCTCTGGCAGGGAGACCACCACCCTCCTCTGGCTTTGACTGCCAGGGCCAGCAGCCAAACTATATCATTTCCAGGATAAAATATTACCCAGCTTTCGTGAGCCAGTCCTGCTGCATGGCTAGCTCTAGCTCACCTGGGGTGAAGAGGGAGGGCTACCAGATGCCTGGAGGGTGCAGACTTTGTTTGGTTCGTCTCTGGGACTAAAGCCCTGCTGTTTGCTAATGTGGGCAGAGGTGCCAGAAGCGTTCTTTGCAAAGCAAGCAAGCAGGGATCCTGTAAACAGGCGCTCCCTTGGGCTCCTGGTGCTTGCCCTTGCCCTGTGTGCTGGGCAGCCCAGTGCTGATAGCACACGGCCAGTGGGCAGCCCAGCTGCAAGGAGGGGCTGTGCCTGAGGGGAGCAGTGGTTTTAAGTAGTACGCAGTGTTTGCAAGTAGCTGGTATGGGCATACAGCATTTGCTCAGCACAGCATCAGTGCAAATGCCTAAACTGCTGATGGCGAGCCCTGTGCTCAGGCACCATGACACTGGAGTGGGTTTTCTGGCAAGCAGAGCTGAGTGGGGCTGTTGTGGTATGCACATAACCAGCCCCTGTCAGTCACGGTCCTCCGTGGACTCCCTCTCCCTCTTCACACAGAATGTGCACTGCTTCTCATCATCCCTTAGACCCATGGAAAGCTTTCGAAGATTTTCTGGGCCATACACCTACTGAGTGAGAGCCCCTGGACTATCTTAAATAAAGGCACAGTTAACAGCAAGCAACCTTATTTATTTATAGCCTGTATACTTTCCATTCACCTCCAAGACATCCAGGTGGAGGAGGCCCTGAAGATGCTCTGGTAGTTCCCTGTGAGATGAATGTGCGTGCCTCTGGTTCCAATAACCTGGCAGAGCGCTGAGTCCCAGGGAGAGAGGTAGTGGGGAGCTTCTGCCCACTGACCTTTAGGTATGTACAAGCAGGTTTTCATGTTTGAGCCTGGACCCCAGGGTCTGTTCAGACTTGCTGGAGATGCACGTCCCGGAGCTGCCTTTGCTGCCCACCTCAGGAAGCACTGAGCCCAGGAAGAAACTACTTCTATTTCCCTCCTTCAGCTCTAAAAGGGACCCCAGGGCAAGGAGCACAGACACAGGCACCTCCAGCACACATCTGGAAGGAGAAATCCCACCCCCCATGTTAAAACAGAAATTGTCATCAAAGACTGACCGAACCTACTCCTGCCCACATTTCCAGAAATCCTGCGCCTGCCGGTCTCACCTACCACCTCAACCCGAAAGCCACCTTACTGCTCACTTGCTGATACAGTTCCATTTGCTGGGCTCATCCTGCTTTGCCCATGGACCAGTGGGACTTTGGGTGTGGACAACTGCCAGACAGGCCACAGGGAAATGCTGATGCAAAGCTCCGTGCATCCCGGATCACGCTGAGCAAGACTCCTCCTGGGCAGGGGAGCTGCCCTGCAGACATCCTGCAGAGCCACCCTGTTGAGATGATCTCTCCTCAACTCTCTGTAATCCTCCATATGAGGAGTAAATTCCTACAACTGCCAGGCTGTTTCCAGATAAGGCGGCAGCAGACAGCAAGGAGCTTTGGCGTTGCAGGGCATAATGTCGTATTTTTGAGATAAACTAGCTTCCTGCATTATTTAACTCAATTCTGCCATCATGAGCTAGAGC